CTCATAATAAGGCACAAGGGTTCCCCTTGCATTACCTTGTTACTAACTTAAGGCTTAGTCAACTTTTTTTTTTTTTTGCATCAGAGCATTCTCATCCCAGGCATTAATTATTTAGTATATTGAGTCCCTTGGGATGAGAGGTTATTTTCAAAAAGAGGAATTTAAGGAAAGTGATAATATGAAAAATGATTAAACTGTAAGATTCACAAGAACAGGAACTACAATGTTCTGTTTACCACTAATGTACATTGTCTGATTGCTAAACACTCAAATAGTTGTTGAATAAATGAATGAATGAATGTTTCTAGTATATTATTACGCTTAGGATGGCAGTATGTTATTTATATTTTTATTCTGTGGGATGGGTTGAGTCATTCCCAATCCATTTAACGGCTTCACACAGCTCTATATAAAAGCTCTCCTCCAGATATGTTTATTGTATGGCTAAGTAGAAGTTACATAACTACTGTGGTTAAGATCCATGTCCAGAATGAGTATTATTAAAATTGAATAAACAACACCCACTAATGAGAAAGCTTTTTCTCTCTAGCTGGTCTACTTTTATACATAAACACACATCTCTTTAACATTTTTGTGTCTTATCCATGGAATCAGTTAAAAAAAAAAAAATGCAATTTCCCATTTGAGAGACCTTTAAAACAATCCCCACAAATGTCAAGTGCTGTCTTTGAACTGACAGCATATTAATCAGGTTTCTAAAGATTATATTCACGAAAAAGTCTCTCTGACTTGGAGTCATGTGAAATTGTGTCCTTACCTCATAGTTATTTGATAGTACTAAGATACTGTAGATTTTTAATGATACATTGAAAAAGAAGAAAATAAATCACAGCATTTGGGTTCTCCTATGATGCCAAATTGCTAGTCACTTTCTTGGAAAACTATCAGCTGAAGCAGAATATGCATGTATTTTATATAATGCAGATATATATACAATTATATAAATTATAAATTTATATACTCATATCTATTTGCATTGATAAGATATGAATTTTATTTATATGTTTTATGCATGAAATTGAATAATTTATGGATATTTCACTTGAGATTTGTTGATAAGTTTGTAAGCATCTTATGCTAAGCCAGTACTCTTAATGTTTTGGGTGCATAGCACGCTATTTCTAAAAACAGAAAAAAAAATACCTTCATGATTAACTATATCTATGATGTTTTATTTATTTTTATAAAACAAACTAAACCATTTCATTTGGTCCTGTGGTAACTTTTTTATTGTTAAAGCCCCACATTGCTAAGAATGTTATTTTATAATATTCAACTATAACTTTTTACACTATTTCCTAGTCTTTGAGGATTTTCAGATGTGATGCTCTGAGAATTTTTAGATATAGTGTGGACTTTTAGAGGAATAAATTGCCTGTAGTGCTTTGCAAAGATATAATTACATCAGGGCTTCATAAACTACGAGCTTAATGGAATTATTGCCATGTAATTTTCTGTAGGTTGTTTAAATTGTCTGCAATTTATTCCTGTAAAATTTCTGTAATTTAGCACTCTGTAGGTTAACAGTTTATAATGCTATATTACATATGGTACATGTTTTAAAGTAGCCAAAGCAGCAGTGGGATAAAAATAAATGTCTTCACCTAAGCCGTTCTGGCAGAACCATAATTTTTATTTAAATTAATGTAAATTTGCATTAACAAATTTAAAGACAGAATTTACAATCATTGAAGATATAAAGTTCTATTACAGATGAGAGAGATGAACAAAGCTCACTCACGGGAACTGAGTAAGATTTTTTAAGGCACAAAGAAGCTTCTTAGAAATCTTTCTTCATGGTCTTCTAAAAGTTATTTTGGTTATTTAAAATGCATTGAGAGTTATTTTTTTTCCCTCAGGAGGATATCTTAAAGAAAATGAAATTATGGCTCAAGAGAGGGTTTACAATCTTCAAGAAACTCTTCATTGATCCATAATAATGTTCATTAACTTAATTTACAAACCATCTTTTACCAACTTTTATGTTTTATAATATATATAATGCATTATAAATACATATATACATTTATAATACATATAATGCATTATAAAACATATATTTATATATGTTATAGATACATATATAATACATTATAAAATATAAAGCCTGGTAAAATATTGCAGATTAAAATTTTATAAAATGAGACATTTCAAACATCTTTGAAAGAAAGAAAAGCAGAAATAAAACTTTATGATTATCAACATCCATTGGAAATGTTCCCAAGGATGGAGAACTAAAAGGGAGTTACTGGCAAATATGTATCTGTTGTGATTAAGAATACAGAAGTAAACTACAATTTTAAAATCTGACTCCACCACTTAATAAATGTGTGACTTTGGACAAATCAATTAATCTCTCATGCCTCTGTTTTCTCACCTATGAAAGGGGAGCAATAATACATCTAACAATATTGGGATGAACTAGGATATTATCCAGTATAGTCAACTCCCCAAATTCAGTGATTTACACAATAAATTTTACCTCTCATTCATGCAAAACTTGCTTTAGGTTCATACAGATCTCCAGAGCAAGTCTTAATCTTTCAGTTGGCTCAGAGATTTCAGGCTGCTTGAATCTTATACTACCTTCATATAGACAGTTGCCTCCATGTTATCACTGAGAAGGAGAAATCAGGCAGACCCAAGCATTAGTTCTTGCTGGCTTCCACCTCTTATTAGATGACAATGATGATTATTGTAAAGTAGGCATGAAATAAAATAGAGATAAGGTTAACTGAACTTAAAAATTATATCATTTAATTTTAGAACAGGAAAGGTCTCTAAAAATAATCCAGTCAAACCCCTCACTGTGCTTTGAATGTGTCCCCCAAAGCTCATGTGTTGAAAAGTTAATACAAGTGCAAGAGTCTTGGAAAGTGGGGCCTAAAAAGAGATGATTCGATCACGAGGGTTCTGCTCTCATGAATGAATTACTGCCATTACCTCAGAAGTGGGTTAGCTACAGAAGGTGGACTTGTCATAAAAGTGAGACCATGTGCAGAAGCTCACGCCTACAATCCCAACACCTTAGGAGGCTGAGGTGGGTGAATCACTTGAGGCCAGGAGTTTGACACCAGCCTGGGCAACATAGTGAGGACCTTGCCTCTAAAAAATACCAAAAAAAAAAAAAAAAAACTGGGTGTGGTTGCTTAAACCTGTAGTTCCAACTACTTGGAAGGCTGAGGCAGGAGAATCACTTGAGCCCAGGAGTTGGATGATGGTGCCACTGCACACCAACCTGGGTGACAGAGCAAGACCCTGGGTCTTTAAAAAAAAAAAAAAAAGAAGAAGAAGTGAGTTCAGCCCCCTCTTTCTCTCTCTCCTTCTTTCTCTCATGCTCTCTTGCCCTTCTACCTTCTACCATGGGATGACGCAGCAAGAAGGCCCTTACAGGATGCTAGCACCTTGATATTGAATTTCCCAGCCTTCAGAACTATGAGAAATAATTTTTTTCTTTATAAATTTCACAGTTAGTGGTGTTCTGTTTTGGCAACCCAAAATTGACTAAGACACCTCTTTATTTTACAGATGCAGAAACAGACACCCAGAGAAAGTACTAGAATTTTTGTCCTAGGTTACCTATCCTGCAATAGCAGAGTCTAAAGTTAAATTCAGATGTCTCTACTAGCTCTCTCCTGACTGCAGTTCTACTACCAACTTTTGGAAGTGTGCTAAACATTCTTGTTTCTTCTGTAATATCCTAAAGAACAGTACAATATGGTGATTAAGTATCTCTTTTCCTAATTTATATTTAACGGAAAACCCAGAAATGATAGTAATAATAGAGGAAATGTTCTCAGACCTGAAATGGTACTACAGTAGCTATTATTAATTTCTATTCATTGCATATTAACAATCTGAGACTTACTGCCCAAACTAACTGAAAATGCAGGATTCAGTACCATATTGAAGAATAATATTTTTGCCATAGCAAGGAAGAATAAGATTTGTGAGAAGAGGCAGAATGGCATGTCAAACTTTGAAGTCTTCAAAAATAAGATTTGTTTTTCATCATGCTTTCTGAATCAATGTTATTTTAAAATGAATGTATGCCCAACCTTTCTTACTCACACAGCCTTACACAGTCTATACTATCAGTAGGGAGAGCTAGAGTGCTGAGCTAGCTGTTACATGTGGTTTTTGTTTCCATTTGCTGAGTGAGGGGGAAAATCAAACAATCAACATATCAAGATAAGTGAAATACCTGCTGTGTTTATTGAAGGGTGTGACTGGCAATGACTAATGCAATCATTTTCTACTTGAACAGATTCAGGTTCAAAATGATACTTCAGTTATTTCTAAAATGAAAAGAATGATTGCAGTTCTGTTACTACTTCCAGTTATTAAATCATTGTCATATCAACTTTTTCCTTTCCCTTCCCCTGTTTCCATTTAGACCTCCAGCATTATGTGGGAGAATGCAACCATTTGGTCATGAGGCTGAGCTGAGAAGAATGCTACCCTACAGCATACTGGGAAATGCTGGACCAGAAGTACTTCTGTTAGTTACTTCTTTGCTAAATCACTCATCTTGCAAAACTGACCATTCAGAGATACAAATTACTGTATGTCCCAAATACTCTGGTTAAAAATGTAGGGTGATCTTCCTTTTAGGCCCTGTATAATATCATCGGACTTTATGGATAGTTAGACATATCATTTATTGGAATGACAGCCTGCTTACTTAATGCCATTGACAGAAAATAAATAGCTATAAATAAATGTCTAAAGCTAGTGTGACTCTATCCAAAGATTCTGCATAATCCTATTTAGAATAATGAGGACTCTAACGACAATCTTAAGTACACTAATTTTTTAAAAGAAATCTCCTTCATCTTATTCTTATACATGGCATTGATTATATTCTTCCTCCATTGGATTAAGAAGCAGGAAGTCTAGATAAGAATAAAAGCAGTCCCTTAGTTACTGGAGTAGTTTAGACCTCTCACAGGTGATATTTGTAGTTCACATCAAGCCTGGGCAAGTATTTGGACTAGTTTTACATGTTGAAACCAAAGGGGAAGCTTAGCAAGGACATTGTTTCTTGCTTTGAAAGAGGCAGGCTAAGATATATGTGTATCATTTTGTTCACACACTGAACTCCCCTCCCTTTTTTTCCTGCTTCTCTCCTGCTTGGAGCTGACTCCTCCTTCCTGCAGCTCTGAGGATCACAGGCTGATTGAAGAACACAGCAGTTCAGATGGAATTCTGTGCACAAGCTCCCTCTGACTGGCTCACGCTCGCCCTCTCTCTCTCTCTTTCTTTCTCTCTACCTTCAAAGCTGAAACCTACCTGACAATCTCCTGCCTTTGAATCCAGCTCTGCAGCCAAATGCATCATTTTACTGCTCTTGAAAGTGAACAGAGTTTGATTATCTCAAGCTACAAGCTGCTTTGCTCCATAAGAAGAACCCCAAAGGATCCAGACATCATTGGTTTTCAATGTACCTGAAGAGTTGTTTTTTTGTTGGTTTTTTGTTTTTATTTTTGTTTTTTTGTTTTTTTCTTTATTCCCTGAAACTTGACGGTGGGAAGGAGTTTTTGCTTTGTTTTTAATTGGAATGTTGAAAAGTTGTTTGCTCGGGTTTTTTTTTTTTTTCTTTTTTAATGCTTGAAATGGAACCTAATTTTTAAATGTAGCTTGAGTCAGATCTAAAGGAGACATGTCTGACCATTTCCTGCAGGACTGACCGGGAGAACATCTAGAGGGGAACTTCGTAGGAGAAATGAAATCTGATTTGCAGCAGCCAGTCTTTCTTTTGAGAAAACTATCAGACTCATTGATAAGAGAAATTAAATATTGACCAAGGACAATGTCTTTATTTCTCAGTAACTTATCAACAAATGACTCTAGCCTGTGGAAAGAGAATCATAATTCTACGGACCTTTTAAATCCGCCAGGAACTCTGAATATCTATCTTTTTTGCTTGACATGTCTCCTGACTTTTGCAGCCTTGGTGGGCAGCATTTATTCACTAATTTCACTGCTGAAGATGCAGAACAGAACTGTTGTGTCCATGCTTGTGGCTTCCTGGTCTGTGGATGATCTCATGAGTGTCCTGTCGGTGACCATCTTCATGTTTTTGCAGTGGCCAAACGAGGTCCCCGGTTACTTCCAATTTCTATGCACCACATCTGCCTTATTGTATTTATGCCAGGGCCTCTCTAGCAACTTGAAGGCGACTCTCCTAGTCTCTTACAACTTTTACACGATGCACAGGGCTGTGGGGAGCCAGACAGCCTCCAGAAGATCGGGCCAGGTGCTTGGCGTGGCGCTGACCGTGTGGACAGCCAGTCTGCTGCTCTCGGCGCTCCCGCTGTGTGGCTGGGGCGCCTTCGTGCGCACGCCCTGGGGATGCCTGGTGGACTGCTCCAGTTCCTACGTGCTGCTCCTCTCCACCGTGTACGCTTTGGCCTTCGGACTCCTCGTGGGCCTCTCGGTCCCACTTACATACCGATTGCTGTGTTCTGAGGAGCCTCCGAGACTCCACGCCAACTACCAGGAAATTTCCCGTGGAGCTTCAACTCCTGGGACCCCTCCTACTGCGGGGAGAGTGGTTTCCCTGTCCCCAGAGGATGCTCCCGGCCCGAGTCTGCGGCGCTCTGGGGGATGCTCCCCGAGCTCAGACACCGCGTTTGGACCGGGTGCGCCCGCTGCCGCTGGGGCTGGAGCCTGCAGGCGTGAGAACCGGGGGACTCTCTACGGCACCAGGAGCTTCACCGTGAGCGTAGCGCAGAAGCGCTTCGCTTTGATCCTAGCACTTACAAAAGTCATCCTCTGGCTGCCCATGATGGTAAAAGTGCAGTTGCTCACAAAGCGCGAGTGTGGGTGCCAGACAGTGTAAATGAGTGTCGGGACCGGTGTCGCTGGTTTGGGAGTCACCAAGAGACGCACAGTGAAGTCCGCTTGCAAGTGTCTCTCAATGGGTTTTAGAAATGCACTTAGAGGAAGGCAGTCCGGGATAGGGCTAGTTGGCCGCAAAACCTTTGCTACTAAATGCTTCTCCTTTCAAAAGTCAGGGGCGTGGAGATCGCTTTCCGTCGCGAGCGACTTAGTTTTCCATATTGGTGGTGGCCAAGGATATTGTCTCACACAGCAAAATCTGAGAGTATTCAGAAAAGGAGAGAGGGAATTAAAAGGTTTTTTCCCTTCAACCTTCTGTCATCCCTTTCTCGCCGTTCCATTCCCGCCTAGTAAGGACGACGCCCATCCTCAGCAGGGAGGGATAGAGGGGAGGAGAGATCGGTTGTGGAGGGAGAAGACAGGGGACAAAACAGGCTTTTGTTCCTCCTTCTAGGAGGAAGCCGATTAAAAGGTGGCAGAGTGGCGCCCGGCTGTGACGAGCGCGCATAGGCGGAGGTGAGGGTCCAGGGAGGCGACAAAGACCATTCGGAGAACCAGACGCAGGTTTCCCGGACGCCTTCACGTTGTAGACTGTGCCTTTCTGGTGGAGTCTTGAATAGGCAGCGGGCGCAGACACGGCACTCAAAAGCAGAAACTCCTCCCAATCCTGTGCTGTCTGGCGTAGCGGGGTGCGTCCCGCTGTTCCCAATAGCCCACCACCAAGGACAGGGCGCCAGCTCCGTAGCAGAGCTCCCCTCTCGCTGTCAATCAGGAGAAGGAACTGGAAAGGGAACTGAGGCAGCGTGCGTGGAGAAAAGGCTTGGGAAGTACAAAGTATAATTTTAGGTTAGATCTGAAGTTCTCTTGCCCTTGCAGATGCACATGGTGGTCCAGAACGTCGTGGGGTTTCAGAGCCTTCCCTTGGAAACATTCAGCTTTCTACTTACCCTGCTGGCCACCACTGTAACCCCAGTGTTTGTCTTGTCCAAACGCTGGACCCACTTGCCCTGTGGCTGCATCATCAACTGCAGGCAGAACGCATACGCAGTGGCATCCGATGGGAAAAAAAGTAAGTCCTCAACACCGCGGTGATTGGCAGCAATACTCGTTCAGTGACTTTCAGAAAAGTAGTCTACTAACAAAGCTGCCTCAGTAGGGAATGGAGAGTCCAAGGATAAATGTAAGTGGTAAATAGTGAGAGGAAATTATGAAACAATCACTACCACAGTTTGGGGGTAGATTTTAAATGAGGCTGGTTTTGAAAATCCCCATGAAGTGCTGTGGCACTGAATAATTATTTTAGGTAGGAAAAAAAAAAAAGGAAAGACTAGAATTCATTTAGCACATCATGTCAACAAAGGCACTTAGGTGATGTATTCACCACAGTTCTTAGTCCAGAATAGAAAACAAACTCCTCTCCCAAGTCTAGAGTGAGATGCAGCATTGCCATAACAAGCTTGAATTTGAAAAAGGATTATTAACCCTCTGAAAGGAGTTGAAAACTCATTACACTATAACCCATTATTATGCAATCGAACAGTAAAGAAAGGCATTTTTGTTGTTTTACTGCTTGTATTCTTCCAGGGTTTTGGAAAGTTTTCAGAGTAAGGAATCAGAGTGCTTGAAAACCGTTCCAAAACAAATTACAAGTGTAGGCCTCTGTCTCTGTCTCTCTCTCTCTCTCTCTCTCTCTCTCTCTCTCTCTCTCTCTGTCTCACACACACACACACACACACACACACGCGCGCGTGCGCGCGGGTGCCCTGGACCAAACACAAAAACAAACAAAACCCTCAGTTTAAAAAAAAAAAAGACACAAGTGACAGTTTATTACTGTGTGTTCATGTATGAATCTAGCCAAGTTATTTACTTAAAGAAGATTCTGTGTTCTGAAGAGTACACCTAGAATGAGAGTGGAAAGTAGGGTCCATTCCAGAACTCCCTACAGTGTAATTGTTCCCATATTCTAAGACAGGAAAAGTGTTGAGGAGTGAGCTGTATATTTTGACTTTGCCAGGAAGAAAAAGGATATTATTGTATTATTCCAGACAGAATATAGGATGTTTTATCACTTAATAAATCTGAGAATGCATTAGTGTATGCTGCATTAACTGTCCTATTAATTGTCCTTTGCTCAGATCATGCAAGTATATTATTCTTTAACAGAGATGAAGGATAAATAAAAACAGTCCATCTCAGGCTATTTTAGGGTTGCAAAATCTAGAGAATATCAAAGTATACTCTGCAATCAATTAAACAACAAAGTTATTTGATGTAATTAGCCATGAACTGGCCATTTTTCTTATGTCATAATGATGGCATTTAAAATTTAGAATGTCTAGATATTTTTCAAATGACCAGAAAGTTTTTTATTGTTAAGAATGTCATTAAGTTTTATTAGTAGTAGATGACAGATGCATTTGTCTTTAAAATAACCTTAGAACTTATAATAATGATGTGTCTCTAAAGATTAATATCCAGAGCAACAGTGACACGGAAAATTAATAATAAACCCTTACAGGCCACTTATAAAAACATGTAATATAAAGGAAACAATTCATAAGTCTCAAAACTCTAACATTCTAATAAATCTTAGCATTTTGCCACTAAACTAGTAAAACAGCCCAGTTTTGCGACATCTAAAATTGTGAGAGGGATGAGTCTAGTGTCAGTGAAAATGAAGTCTTAGTGAACTGGTTGAAGGCAGTAATTTTTAAGAAGTGGGGACCATCCATCTCAGAGCTGAAAACAAAGCAGACAACAGACTTATTCTTGTAAATGACATGTGAAATATTCTACTTTCTGTACTTCACAGACAGAAGAGTCTTATGGCAGGCTAGCAGAATCAATAGTCACACTCATATCACAGGTTTGAAATTAAAAATATATCTTTTGAGATCAAAATAATATTTTTTTCTAAAATTACCATTGCTTTTATTTGTGTTTATTTTAAAATTCCAAAGAGGGACTTATATGAAGGCTTATAAAAAAGAAGCATGGTTTCACAAATAAAACATTGTGATAAACTTTAGTTTAAGATACTTATAGTTCAAATGACTCCATTCCCCCCATGATCCAGGCTGTGATATCAGAACTTTCTGATAATAACAGTGATGTGTTTCTACTGTCTGAGAAGCCACCATCAATTTTTCTATTGCTAGTATAACACAACAAAATTTTAAAACCCCAAACATAGCACATGCTTAGGTGGACCAGGTGGTTGATCAGCTAGAGTATCTTAATTCTTCGATGGTTCGAGTTTTATGTTTAAACTTTTTGTCCATAACAAACTAAGATTCCCTCTCTTTATATCCTTTATCAGTTAGCGAACTTCAGAAGCAAGGGAGAGAAAATATTTTTTTCCTAACATATTTATCATAGGTTAATTTTGAATATGTAAATATAATTATAAATCTCAACTTCACTAAATGGGAACTGAGAGATGTGCAACAAGAAAATGAATGTGAGCAGTGGAAAAATAATTTGCAGAAATAATAATCCTCTCCTGTTTCCAACAAGAATCTGTACTACTAGTGTCTCAAAAGTGTTTTTTTTGTTTTGTTTTGTTTTGTTTTCAAATGATTTTAACATAGAGGTCTCAGGCAGTAGACATATTGGTTGGATATAGCTATCAGACCCATTTTGTTTGCCTGATATGATGTTTTTTAAACAGTTGAATGTCAAATACATTATATAAAAAATAGATTTTTGATCTTTATTTTTTGACAAAATGATAGTATCTGGTAAGTGATATTACTCTGAAGAATGATTTTTTTTACAAGTTGATGTAATTACTCACATCTAAAACTGTAATTGGCAAGATGTGATTAAAAGCAGAAGACTAGAGCTAATTCATGCTTTATCAAGGATTTTGGAAGAATAAAGATTTTGCTTTTAAGAACAAAAAATTATATTTATTTTTAAGATGTTTAGTATAAATTTCAAAGGATTCTGGACAATATTCTGATGGCTTTTAAGTTTCTTGAAAATTATTAATCAATGAAAGATCTCTGACTTTCACAGACAGAAATACAAAATACAAAAAAATCCAAAAAAGTACAAAATACAAAATACACAAAATACAAAAAAAGTTTTTAAAAAATCTCAACTATGTAATTTTTTAGTGATATAAAACTGTAGCACTGTCAAGGCCTTCCTCCTATAAACAAATCAATATTATAAAGATACCTCTTTTTTGAAATCATATTTTATTCAACTAGCACCATCGAGTCAAGGCTAAGCTAACAAACCTTTCCTATCACATCAAGCATGATTCCTACAGGTTGCTCCATTCATTCATTTATTCATTCACTCACTCAATAAATACATATTTATTAGGGAAAACATCACTATGTGTCTAGCACTATGCCGCATGTTCAATAAGGAACAGAAATTCCCAACCCATGACCCATTCACTGAATTTGGTTCAAAGATCTGGTTTTTAACCAATGTTTATAGTTACTTATAACTAATTTTAATTATGGACCGAAATTTTAAGATCAGGATATTTTATATCAAGTCTATGAACCTGGTTTGTTTGAAAAATTAGGATTCTTGACAACACAACCCCTAACCTCCCCACAAATGGCTGGAGCTGAGAACCTGCTTTAGGTGGAGAAAGAGCTTTCCCATTTGTCTTTGTTAATAATTAATGTTAGCTAACTGGCCCCATAGACACTTTTTATTTTCTGCTCTTGGTTCATTAAAAAAAAAATACCCAGTCTTTACCCTCAAAGAACTTAGAAATGATTAGTTTTGACTCTGATTCTCATATTTTCTTCACCATAATTTTGATTATTAACTATATTAATGTATTTTTATAGGGATTCACCCCCTTACAACCAGCCTCTCATCTTACAGTGTCAACTTTGTGATATTGTTATAACCTATTATCTCAACTTAAGTATCTCAGGTACATTAGTTACTTCAGGCAGAATTTGCCATTTAAGTGATAAGTCACTAACAAGAAATGTTTCATTGATTATACTGCACAATTACTGTATTTCGTCTGACTTAAAAACAGCACATTGTGTAACTCTGCTTCCATTAACATAATTCTTTCATGGGTCTGATTAGCAATAAAGCAATTTCAAATAAAGGCAAATAACTCCAATTCTGAAAACAGCTAGCTTTAAATTCAGATCATTTTACCTGTAAGTAATCTTCAGTAGCTTTTGTCTGTCATCCCCAGTTTTCTCCAGCGTAAAATAGAATCAATAAGTTTTTTACTAAGTAGGATTGTTGGTGTATTAAATGAGATATTCGATGTGCAAAATGACCTCAGAATGTTCTATCACATCATGGTCTCTTGATAATCCTCCTTTCTTTTCATAACCTACCTCACACAGCCCTTTGTGCCTTGTGATATAGAGGTGAAGTCCCCATTAACACATTCTGCGTACTCCTTCACAAACATTACTCATTTTTGCTTTATATATTTGAGATTACAATGTGCAACTCATAAAATTATAGTCATAGACATCAATTTTATCATGCTATATCACAAAATTGGGATTTTATGATAGCATTTGTTTTCTTAATGGCCTTGAATTGACAATTTGTCATTTTATATCTTTTTTGGAGAAAAATAGAAACCCATCAATAATTTAAACATCCTTTTAGTTCCTTCACCTTTCACATTCTTAAAGCAAGTTACACAGCATAACTTGATTTTACTTGACTACATTACTAGAAGAGGTCAATAAAAATATAAATAAGACAGTATATAAAATATGAACATCTATTTCTACTTTTATTTTTTCTTTGAATCAAAATTTTTCTTGTTTGTATTCTGGCTCAAACAACAATGAATGATACTGATAAATTCTATTTTTCAGTCAACAGAATTGGTTTACAAATCTTAGATTCTGAGAAACATCTCAGTAATAGACTCAGCATATGAATGACACTAGGGTATGTTGCTAAATGAATCAAATTTTACTTATTTTTGTAGAAAGTTTAAATCTTTTCATACTTTTTTTCTACCAAAGACAGACAGCTAAATGTCTCACTATAAAACACAGAGCTATCAAAGTAGAAAATTTGTTTGAAACAAACCATGTTTTGACAGATGAAAGCAAAAACATTAAATTATATCTTGTCTACCACCTTAATATAACTTGATTCTTAATATATAAAACTTACCTAGCATTTAATGACATTCAAAATAAAAATTGCATCACTTTCTGTTACTTTCTTGCTTTTTATTCTAAGACTTTGCATCACTCCACCAACTAATAGTACTATAATTAGTATATCATCATATTTCACCTGATTTAAATCATAAAAATTTTATGCATTCCTGCTAAACTCTTGTAATAATCAGCTTTATAGACATTATAAAGTGCTTCAATTTGCAAAAAATATTAATCCATCTAACTTTTTACTGTTCATTTCATATTTACTTGTATCAGAAATGTACATGTTGTTTTTTTAAATTTAAAAGCTATTTAGCAGAATGGTCTAATTTTAAATGTATGCATTTATAGACATACAAATGACAAAAATTATACACCAAAATATTTAAAGAAGTTATATTTATTGGTGGTATTCTTAGCTGAATAACTCGTGTAATATTAAGACTACTTAATAATTAATTTCTAGCAAAATAAAATTTATAAATAATATATCTTATCCCCAAATATAAGGAAATGTGCAAAATAATTGGTTAGACTAAGATAAGCTAAAACAATGTATTTGAGAATTTCCTAATGTATGGCTAAGTTTTTGTTATATAAGCCTTCTTTAGTGACCAAAAGAGTTTTTAAGATTGTATGTATTTCAAGACCCTCATTGTGTAAATGAGAAAAATGAGGCACAGAGTAATAAGATAATTTTGTGAGGCATAATTTCTTTGCATAATTAACAAAAAGTAAATGAAGATAATTTTAAAACTTATAATAATCAAGTTGAATGCACTTTCTATTTTTATTTGCTATATATAGCCAATGTGGTTTATATCTACCTTACTAGCCATAAACTGTTGTTTTTATTTTTACTCAGTCAAGAGAAAAGGCTTTGAATTCAATCTATCATTCAAAAAAAGTTATGGAATTTATAAAATAGCACATGAAGATTACTATGATGATGATGAAAATTCCATATTCTATCACAACCTGATGAACTATGAGTGTGAAACTACGAAAGACCCTCAGAGAGACAACCGTAACGTCTTCAATGCTATAAAAGTAGAAATCAGCACCACGCCCTCTCTGGACAGCTCCACACATGGCGGCGTCAACAAATGCACAAATACTGATATTACAGAAGCTAAACAGGATTCCAACAACAAAAAGGGTGCGTTTTCTGACAAAACAGGAGCGGATATTCACTATGAAGAAACTACCTTTTCTGAAGGGCCAGAAAGAAGACTGTCTCATGAAGAGAGTCAGAAACCAGATATTTCAGACTGGGAGTGGTGTAGGAGTAAATCAGAAAGAACCCCTCGTCAGGTACAGTAAAGATTCTTCTTGCTGTTAAATTAAAGGTGATACTAAATGTGATAGTCATGAAAAACATTATCAATTGTTTATTTTATTCAATCTAGTCCAACATTAACTTCCCTTGCCTCAATTAATTTCCATGATATTTAATTTTAGTTCAAGGTGTCTTTTGAAAGACTTTTTAATTCTTTTAATCAGTTTAAAATCTATACATTTTATAATAGGAAGAGTTAAACAGGCTCTTTAAGAAGAGTAGGGCATTCCTTTTTAACCTCAAGTAACCTGCATAAATTCAGATTAGATTCTCAGAACTCACGGTTCAAATTAATTTAGTTTGTAGATTTTATTTTTCCCTCCTCCATTCCAAAGGTATCTCTTAAGTTTCCAAGAGAAGTTTTTTGTTTCCATGTAAAGGCAAATATTTATACAACTTGCAGTGAGAAGTGTTGTTCTGTTGAAAGTATATTAGGCAGCTTGCCTATCAGTCTTACTAGAACTAATCCCTCCAGTACCCAGCAGAAAAAAAATTATTCCAGAGTACATTCAGGTGAGCATTTGCGAGCCCTGATGAATGCTCCATCTTCTTAAATATGGAAGAATGGTTTTATAGTGTTTTATAAAGCTAAAAGAATTTGCATTTGAATTTCTCGTCCTTTCCTAGATTTCGCCTTCCTAAAATGGTGAGGGATCCTTCCTATTTATTGAAATGGCAGTGTGACATTGATATGAGATTTTTTTCTTTCTCCAAGCTTTCATATGTGATCATTAAGTTGTCCTTGCTTTACACACTATTGATTTCCTAGGAAAAAGGAGTCTTTTTTCTACATGAGTTAATGGAAATCAGAATCTACATGCACCTAATCTCTGGAATCAAAAGCATTATTTTAGAAATACACTGATAGGAATAATGTATTCATTGATCCAAAGTATGATCATATAACACGAACTATAAATATGAGCAGAATAAGTTGAGATTTTCTTTATTCTCATTAAGTAAAACTGCTAGTCTCCTGATATCATTGTTTTTAAAGTGAGTTGAATAGTAAAAGAAGGTGTATAAAATATATTATAAGAAGAGATAATTGTGCATATTGTTTAGAGATTAGAAATCAAAGGAAAATATCACTAAATATTTGTCATGAATTAAATAATACAGTAAAAGGTGGAGGCCAAAGAACACAACGCTCCATATGTTTAGAAAAAATGTGTTTTCCAAGCTAAAAGGGGAATTCCGACACTTTCATCATCAATTTGCTCCTGAATAATCTAAACCTCTTAGTCTTGCACTTAGAAATTTTTTTAAGCTATGTTCATAATGAAGCAAGTGTGTGTGTGTGTCTATCTCAATAACTTGTAACTACCTTCGGTGCTAGTCACCTATATCATCCTCGTGATTACCCTTACGGATTACAGCTATCTTGAATCTTCCTCTTATTTTGTTACATTCTTTTATCACAAATGTATGTACTTCTAACATAATACATTGTTTAGCTTTGCTAATTTTGAGCCTTCTAAAGATGGTATCATGCTGTATATAGTCTTCTGGGGCCGGCTTTTGTTCATTTAACATTACTGAGTAGCTCAATTTTCTTATTTATTTCATCAAAACAGTTGGAATTATTATCTAAAATACCACAACTAAACGCCTTCATTTAAAAGCCTTGGTTATAGTTTGGAAAGTAGAGTCAAATAACTATAACTAGAACATGAATAACTGTAACTAGAATGTGAAAGAATCAGACACTGTTTGCACATAAGAATGATGAAGAACAACTTACCCACAATCTTCTTTAAATCAAAAATTAAAATGATTTATGTAAAGTATAAAACTTTGATCAATCCAGATATCTTTCAGCTATAAATATTGGCTTGTTAAATATAGATATTTAAACAACTGTAATGATCAAGTCTTTCAGGAAACTTCTCTGAAATGGTCACCATGAAAAATAATGATTAGAGGTAAGATGGATAATACAATATTCTGGAAAGGTAAAACTTTTTATTTCCAGGAACTAATTAAAATTAAATAAAATACTATCATAAATTTTAAAACAATAGGAAGAAATCCTAAACCGCAGATTGACATTTTTTGTATAACCTTCCCTTAGTAAAAGTACCTGTGGTCTTTAAGGTTAGCCTCAAATACAAATACAAAATTTTAAATTAAAAAAGTGTTACAAAATTATACGAAACATTTTAAAGCACCAAGTTTAAAATGTTCACATTGTAATTTAAAATGTTAGCAAAATACGCATTTAGGACTGAAAACCTTATGAGAACTTTTCCTAAGACCAAAACAGCTTTTAATTCTTACCCTTTTCTTCAGCAGCAAATATTACATGGAAGTGAATAATGACTTAAAAGGACTTTCATTTTTATCTTTTTCTTCCCAGTGCCATTTGTTGCTCTAGGCTATGTTAACATATGTATCTTATATAGTGATGCATTAAACTGTGTGGTAGACACTGCAGTTACTCTATAAAAACACTACTTCTTTTGATTGTTTTATGGTTGTACTTTCAAACATTTAGGCTCAATTTATCAATTTGTGTCTAATTGATATGTGTTCTCGGGATTTTTTAAAAAGCAGATTTGATTTTAAACATATTTAGTGAGCTCTCCTTTATTTGTACAATATGCTTTGTTTAATTTTTTATTGAAGTTTATGTTAACAATTCTCAGTATATTTTCTTGGAAGTCCTGGTAGGAGTTAGACTATCATCACATCAAGGTTAAGGTGTGGAAATGATGGTAATAGAATGACTTCAGTAGATTTAAATGTGATCCAATAAAATTTACAAGAATTGAAGGTATTCATAAGACTGAAATTCAATTTTAACCTGGTCACATAATTGCTTCTTTTTGAACACCTAATAAGTAGAAATCTAAGCAGTTTACCATTTTGAAAGTTCAGAAGGAATAGTCAGAAGTATCAGAGACTTTTAGTTAGAAAGTCTTAATGCGATAGCCACTGGTATGACTCTTTCTGAAATGAAATGATAATTTTCTAGAACCCCAAATTTTGTCATCTATGAATAAAGAAAATTAGACTTATAAAATAATTGACTGGCCTGTGGGTGATCACTCTATTTTCTCTTTTAATACTAAGTTCATAAAATTACCCTGGATTCCATTTTCTTTCCTTTTAATGTTCTGTTTTAGAGTTCCAGAAACTCACTCATTTATTTTTGTGAATCAAAAACATAGATATCCTGAAACTTTTAATCTATTTACAATCCTATCATTATAGGATCTGTAAGGTACAAGGTCCTCCATTTTGCCAGTAGGATGTTTTAAAAACAGATTCTGAAATATTCCCTCTCAAGTGAAAGACAAACCAGGCGGAGGCAATTGTGTTTAAATTTGCTACATAATCGCTTAGCTTAAGGGATAAATAAGGCCAACAAGAACTAATTTTAATGTGCCTGAGAATCAAGGAAATTTTATTTTCATTTTAAGGAAAATGTTTTAGATGTCTAAAAATAGTTTTCTAAAGTTATATTGTATCAGTTGTTAATAGAGTTTAATAGCAGTATTGGTTTCTATAGTATTTTTTAAATATTATTGTTTATTTAAGAAATTTTCGTAGGAAACTATAGAATCCAAAAGCTAGCTAGACTATTTTGAGTTCTTTAGATCAGAACCTCTCAGGCTTTAATGTGTATACTAGTCAAATGGGTATCTTATTAAAATGTGGATTTTGATTGATTAGGTATGAGATGGGATCTAAGATTCTCCATTCCTAATAAGTTTCCAGATGATTTCTGTACAAAACCAAGGTCCCACCTCAGACCTACAGAATCAAAATCCTGTAGTAGGCTAATATACACATTAAAAATTTAAAAGCACTGCTTTAGATTCTAATTGCTAGAGAATGGGCATGAGTTTGAAGTGCAGGGCAAAATTAATTCTTTCTGTTTAAGATATGACCAATTAAGTATAAAGCTGGAAGAAAATACTCAATACACATATCTCTTCCCTCTTCCTAAAAACTGTGCATCTTTTCTTTTCACTTTAAAAAACAAACTATTTTAAAAATGAGGACAGCATATTGCTGTTTTCTGTGACACTATTAGCTTAAAATGAAGATGCCTAAACTTGTCTCTGAGTAATTTCTGACATTTTAACTGAAATGACCATACTAGAAAAAAATCACTAAAAACCTATTTATAGCCTCCACCTGGTCATCTTAACAAAAATGATCATCTGGAATATATTTTAATTTTGACTACACTCATTTGTTTGAAGTACTTAGTTTATTACTCGCTGTTCAGAAACTTGAAAATTTGCTACACTGCCTAGTTTTTATAAAAGTATAAACTTTATTGTTTTTATAATTATTAAACTAACTTATAATTATTGTAGAAAATCTAGAAATTGTCGATAAGCAAAGAAAAAAAACTCATTTCCACCTACCCAGAGTTAACCACTGTCTACATTTTGTTGTATAAAATATCACGCTCTTTTCTATGCATATATTTTTACTTTTGACAAAAACAAACAAACAAAAACAGTCCTGCTGTATGTACTGCATGTGCTCTGCTTTTCTCCACTTAACAGCATAACTTTAACCTCAATTTAATTGTTTCATCCCTTTGTGTCATTATCTGGTGTAGTTTAGAGTGACTATATGAAGTGTGGCTGAAAACTCATCCATGAATATACATTTGTTCTCAAGTATGTAAATCCTGGAAGTTGAACCTAAGGGAATTTTATCCTAAACTACTTCAGATATTTCATAGTACATTTTGTGATCCTCACAGCATGCATCATTTTGCCGCAATGAGTAAAAATAGTTCTAACTGCTCACGTTCTACAAATTCAAGGGAATTAGCATTGGATCAAAGCTTGCGTTGAATCATATAATTTACCTGTTAGCTAAGAATTCTGTCAACATTCTCATAAAAGTCTCCTGGCTTATGAAACCTAAAAGACTGTGTACTGAAATGACCCAGCTGTGCCTTAAATCTCTCTTGGTTACTCTCAACTTGAACTCAAGTAACTAGGAA